CTCCCCTTTTCTTTAACATGTTCCAAATATGGAGCTGCTCCTTGTTGCCATGGTGACACATGCTGAGAGAATGCCAAAGCCCCCTCCATCCTGAGCCCCCCATACAGGCCTGTGAGTCCCTGTCAGACCGTCTGCTGGGACTCTTTATAAAACTGGTCCACATTCTGCTGCAGTGTAACAGTGTCACACTGTAAAACTATATCACAGAAATAAACAGGAACTCAAACTACAATAAACCCTCTGAAAAACTCCAAGACCTACAACATGTTTACTGATTCACAACAACAAACCATTTGTGTCTGAAAGTTGTGACTGTTTTTAGTTATGTGACTAACCCTGTTTTCTTCCCTGTCCCACCTCGCTGTGTTTCATCTGTTGGTCTGGCTGCTGAGCTGCGCGCCTTCACCGGGATAATAAAGTTGAACTGAACTGATTTTTTTTTTTTTTATCATTCTTAGAGCACACAGCAATTTTTTTTTTAATATATTTTTTTATTGATTCACAGTTCCAGTAAACGATACATCTGCAGAGAGTTACATTTTCATTTTTCTGCATATCCCCACACCCACCCCACCCATCCCAAAGACCTTTACATCTTTGTATCAACAGGTTGATGTAACCAAATCAATTTAAATAATAGTGAGTACTTGTATAAAAAAAATGAGTAGAAAAATACACACAGTTAAATAGTAAGAAAAAAAAAGTAAACAAATAAATTAATAAATAAAATAAAATAGAATTTAAAAAAAAGGGAAGGAAAGAAAGAGGGGGTCACATAGGTTGTTTGTTTGCTGCCTGCGTCTCTCCTTGTTCAACAGATCTGCCCACTGTTCCTAAACCAGTCGGAGTGTAGACGGTCATACCTAGGGGGTCGGTGGACCGTGCAAGGTGTAGGCATAGAATCATGGGGACGTTTCGGTAGCAGGGAGTTTAATGACATAATCAAGTAGTGGTTTCCAGTGTGAATAAAACTTTTCGGGATGGCCTCTAAGGTTGAATTTGATTTTCTCCAGCTTCAATAGAAATAGTAGGTCATGTAGCCAGGATTTGAAGGAAGGTGGCTGGGAGGATTTCCATAAGAGAAGAATTTTCCTACGTGCAATCAAGGACGCAAAAGCTATAACATTGTCCTGCATAGATGTGGTTACAAGTTCATCAGGAGGCACCCCAAAAATAGCTATCTGTGGCGAAGGACTAACAGAAATACCCAGGATCTCAGAAATAGATTTAAAAAATGAATGCCAATAGTTAGACAATTTAGAGCATGTCCAGAACATATGTGTCAGATTGCAGGGCGTCTGGGAGCATCTGTCACAAGCTTCGGTAGTTCTGTCTAGATAAAGTTTGAAGAGTTTGTCTCTACTATAGTGCAGTCTAAAGAGTACTTTAAATTGAATAATTGAAAGTCTGGCACAGCTAGAGGAGGAGTTAACTGCTTCCAACACTTTTTTCCATTGAGCATCAGAAATGCTTATTTGGAGTTCGGTTTCCCAGTTGGCCCTGCTCTTATTTACAGCTGAGTCGTTTGTTGGTGATAAGAGATTATAGAGATATGAGACATGGCCCTTAGGCATAGATTTAGTCTGGAGCACCAAGTCTATACCATTGAGGGGTGGAGCCTGGGGGAACTGAGGGGAGTAGGTTCTTGCAAAGTTGCGAA